ACCTTGGGATAAATAGAAGGAGTTGCATTTTACAAATTCATTTTTACTTAAAAAAAAATTAATTAATATTCTTTCACAGAAAAAAATATTTTTACAATATAAAATATATTTCGGCTTTAAATGACTCATAAAGGGTTGATAACCCGTAATTAAACTAAATTAAATTAATCAATCAGTTAATTACTTGAGTATCACCACTAGTTAGAAATACGTATGAAATTCAGCTATAGGTAAAATGTACGATTAGTATCTAGGAAAATCATTGTTATTATAATAGGCGGTTCAATTGTAAATGAAAATCGGATATCATTTCTCGAGGTTTTCATTACGAAACGCTAACGACAAAGGCATCTTTTGAGTAGATTTAATTAATATAGGTGAATTGATGGAATCACGTGCCTGTCTGTTCGTCGCTTAGCAACGGCGAAGAGGCAAGTTAAAAAAAATATATATAAAAAGATACACACACGTAGTAAATTGCCAGCCAGCCAGCCAGCCTGCCAGTCAATCAGACAGCCAGCCATGCGTGAACGAAGAAAAACGAAAATGAGGCAGGATGGGAAACAAAACATATTTAATGCAACGAAATTGTGACGTTATTTGGTTCATCAGTACAACAGAGGAGAATTGAGGCAAGAAGTGATACTAAAAAAATTAGTCTATTTTATACTACATTCCCTTTTTATTATTTACACTATTTACATTGTTCGGAGTGTTGTCATCATCTTCGTTGCCATATTCCCGACGTTTCGACCGTTGTACGCTCTGGCCTTCGACAGGTGATTGGAATTTCGAACTGAACCATTTATTTCGTACACCGATGTATATTTTCTAGTTCCACATGCCATACCTATTCCGGATGCCTCGTTACCAGTTATCTCCCTTTAACTTAACTCTCTAGAATTTGTTCACCCCAGCTGTAGCCGGGTACGTGAACTCACAACTCTCTGGGTCAAGTCAGTGGATCCAAAAACGCTTTTATCCACTGGGGCATGTGTCCCTTTCTATACTTAAGCCCCTCTCATTTGCAAGGAATATGTTTGAAGACCCTCAGCAGGCGTGTAAAATGGCGAATAATAACAAATTTTAATATAAACGCTGTTATTTCTTATACATATAAAGTTTAACAAAATATCTAAATAGTATTTTGCTAAATAATTGATCGTATGAACTAAAATAAAGAGATTAAATATAATAACTAATAATAAAAGAGAACAATTCCAGCAAATATGCTGTATTGAAATTTATGTGAAGAACAGAAGATCCGTTCTTATCCTAATGAGACACAAGAGATTAACGACAATAACTAATCATAAAATAGAACAATTTTAACAAAAAACTGTAATAAAAGTTATATGACAGATTGAAGATTCATTCCTACCGTAGATCTTATGAGGCACAAGAAGAGATTAACGACAATAACTAATCATAAAATAGAACAATTCTAACAATATACTGTAATAAAAGTTATATGACAATTTCTGCGACCACATCACCCATTACATCTGGTCACTTAAAGCCACAGTCTAACCCTACTGATTATGCGTGCGGTGCATTTGAGCGAGGGACTGATAACAAGGATTATGGTAACATTCACCAACTTAAACAAGGAGCCCGTCTAGAAGAGTCTCAAAAGATTCCGAAGTCGTCTGGAGTCTGTGGTTGAAGCCAATGCCGATTTTATTGAATAAATTTGCTCTTTAGTCTTTCAAAATATTTTTGTGTAATTTTGATAAATATATCTCTTAAAATGAGATGTCAGTGTTATTTTCATTTTGGCGTAATTTTGACGATAATTTATCCATCGCACCCTCTATTTGTCTATCACCCTATCGAAAGAGTCCTAATAATTTTTATTACGTTTGATGTTACTAAGTAACCATCGTTGTATCTAGCACCCGGTCTAAATCACTGCTTCGTCACATGTGCCTGAGAAATATTTTAAATGAGCTTGGTACCACCAGGAGCAGTGTAAGTCATTAGTCAAGATTTATATTTTCTACTACATTTGTAGCTTTTGTAAATGTTGAAACTTGACTAATGCATGGAATAATAATGCAACACAAAATGTACTTAGAACAAAATGTATTGAAACAAGAAAGTGTACACAATATTTACATATAGTCTTTTGTATATTCCTGGTAAGACCGTTCCTGGAGAATGTGTTGACTGAGTCGCAGTGGGGCAGAGTCTCGGGTTGAATCTCTTGATTCCTGCCTTTCTTCCTGGTACCAACCATATTTATATGGTCGGTACTCCACTATGCAAATTAGATGGATCCTACCACAACAGTAAATAAAGTGTATTTACTGTTACATGGAATTTCTGTTTGTGCTTACATTGGCCTGGATTTCTTCTTTTGACACCAAATATGGACTTCAAGAAAGAAAAGCTTGAGAAATACTGATCTAAATGATTAAAAAAAACCAACACATGAACAGGACGCCTGTATTACAATAAATTTCAAGTGCGTTAAAGATTTTACTATTAAAATTTTATAGTTTCTATTTTATATTCGGATTTAACGGACTTTTAGCATTAAAGAACGATTTTCGTTAGCCCTTTAAACAGAAAGCTTAGTGAATTGGTAATCATACCTGTGACAACTCGAGTAACATAAATAAATGACAGAAACAGGTTGTACAAAAATGCTTTTCAATAACCAACTTATTATGAGTGGTGTTTTTCGTAGCAACGTTTTTTTGCTTCTTCTTGTGCAGACAAATTCCCCTTTGGGCACCTCGGCGTGGTATGATGGTTAGCAAGCTTGTCTCGCTAAAACAGTTACGACTGAATAGTGAGTTCGATCTTCATTGGGTGCTCTATACTTTCGGCCTTGTGCCATATCTAAGCAACGCTTAGAAAATCAATACACTCGCTTCCCTGTCATAATATGACAGTTTCGAGATATTAAATCTAGATATCTATGTTAAAAATAGGCCTTTCCCAAGAGAAATGAATGAAAGCCGTTCTATTCGCTACTGTTGAGCGAGTCTTATGTGGAATAAGTGGTTTAATATTAGGTTGGTGCAAAAATAATGACGTAATAATGTCGTTTTTTAACGTCAAAAACGACATTATTACGTCATTATTTTTGCACCAACCTAATAACAGTGAAAAGGCGTAAAGGTGCTTGGCAAAATGGTGTATTAAACTCAATATTTTCGGCCACCGTTGGTCATTTTCAAGGAAATCAGGTAGAAAGTCGAGAAGTAGCCGACATGGTGATTTGTCAAAAGGTTAAAGCTAAAAAAAAATAAAATAAAAAAAAATGAACGTGGGTTTATTTGCTATGATTACAGAGTGTGATGTATAAATTGTCGTCAATATTACGCAAACATGCAAGTATGTTAACAGATATATTAAGTTGGTGCAAAAATAATGGCGTAATAATGTCGTTTTTTGACGTTAAAAAATACGTCAAAAACGACATTTTACGTCATTATTTTGCACCAACCTAATATTTACCAAAAATTACACAAAAATATCTTCAAATACGAAAGAGTATATTCATTCAATAAAATCCTCATCGGCTTCCACCAATTCAGAATTTCCTCCAACCCTTCTGGACGGTCTCCTTGTTTGAGTTGGTGACTGCTAGCATAATCCTTGCTATCAGTTCATCTTTGGTGATGCAAAGAGTTTTGTTGGTCAACTGCGCCCCACACATTATAGTCAAGCGGGTTGTAGACTGCAGTTTTAAGTAACCAGATGTAATGATTGATGTGGTCACAGAAATTATCAAACAGCCATGACTGTATTCTCCTGCTTGTGTGACATGGTGCGGAGTCCTGTTGTCAGACATAAGGACTTCCAGCAGACACCCTCTTCACCCAGAACAGCATTACATCCTCATGGCACTTGATGTAGACCTCCGTGTTGAGTCTGATGACCTTTGGGAATGTGAATGAATGCATAGCGTCGCCATCACTCCAAAGACCATAATGGCGAATGGATATATCATCCAACTATTTCCGAATTCTCTGCACTGTCCTCAGATTGACACCCAAACATTCTGAAATGCTTTTATTAGTGGCGGAGTAAATGGTGCTCTTTTTCTCAAAGACGATATCCGGCTGACTCTTCTATATACTGTGCAGTCGACAAAATCAAAAACACACAACGCGCATGCGTGAAATTCAAAAAAATAAAATGGCGACAATTTATCATTCGCACGCTGTATTTATATAGAGAAAAACGTATTGAAATAATTATGTT